AGCCTTTAGGGGGTACATTTCTCTAGGGTTTCATACTTGTACTCCCAAATGTTTCTAGTTGATCACTTCTTGTTTCTAACATGGTATTAAGAGCGTAGGTTTAGACCTAGGATCGCTTACCTAAGGGCCCACCGTTCTGCTAGAAGCGCCCTCGAGCGCCTTAATGACCTAGCGCTCTCGAGCGCCTCTCTCCTAGTGCGCCCTCGTGCGCCTCTCGTTCTCCTGCTGCCCGTGCGCAGCTCGCTAGTGCCGCGCGCGGCCTTTTTTTTTTTAGCGCGCGTAGCCCGCTAGCAGCCCGCGCGCGCCTTTTCTGCGCGCGCGCCGACCGTTAGCCGCCCGCACGACCAGCGCCGCCCACGAGCAGCCCGCTAGCCGCCCGTCGACCGGCCCTCCTGGCCGTCCAGAGCGTAGCAGCCCAGCCCGTAGGCCGCCGCGTCGCCCTTAGAGGCAGCCGTCCGCGCGCGACTGCAGCCCACGCACAGCCGCGACCCGCCCGCTACAGCCGCCCACGCGCGGGCCCACCGTCGCGCCGTGCCGCGTAGCCCAGTCCGAGCCGCGCCGCGCCGCCCAGCCCGAGCCGCGCCGCCCGAGCCGCGCCGCCCGAACCGAGCCGCGCCGCCCTGGCCGAGTCGCGCTGCCCTACTGTGCCCCACCTGCAGCAACTCCTGTTCCTGTTCCTGCTGATACAACTGTTCTTACTGCTTCAGCTGCTGCTGCTACTGCTACTGCTACTACTGATACTGTTCCTACTGCTGCTACTGCCACTATGGCTAGTCCTACCGTTCTCACCTTTGACGCTGAGGGCCGCCCGATTAAGTTTGATGTTTGGCTCGATGACCTGCACCTGTTCCTCCAGATCACTGCCAAGGACGACGTTTCCCTGTATGACCACACGTCAGGAGCCGCTCCCGCACCTGCTACTACTGCTGACAGCACTGCTCGCTCACAGTGGCAGACCCGTGATGCTCACGCTCGCCTAGCCGTTCGCAGCCACCTGCCGTTAGATGAGCGCGAGCACTTCGGCCAGCATAAGACCGCTAAGGAGCTGTACGATGCGGTAGTTGCGCGCTACTCCTCCCCTGCCACTGCTGCGATAGGCCGTCTCTCACTGCCCTACCTCTTCCCCGATCTGTCTGCCTTTGCCACTGTAGCTGACCTCATCACTCACCTCCGTACCAGTGATCTCCGCTACCGTGCCGCGCTTCCCCCCGACTTCCTAGCCAAGAACCCTCCCCCGATGTATCTCACACTGTACCACCTAGTCACCCGCCTCCCTGACTCCCTTCGTACTGTCAGGGATCACTTTCTCGCCCTCTCCCCCACCGACCTCACTGTCGACCTGCTCAAGAAGGAACTTCTAGCAGCTGAGAAGAGCATTGTAGCTGTAGGTGCCTCTCGTGGCGACCCTCGCGCTCCCTTCTTTGAGGGGTGCTCCCCCGCCCCCCTCCTCCCCTCCATTGCATCTGCTGCTGCTGTCGACTACCTCGGTGCTGAGGGGGTCGGGGCTGCGTCTGCTCCTAGTGGGAGGCGCAAGGGTGGCAGGGGCAAGGGGGGCAGGGGGGGCGGAGGTGGCGGAGGGGGCGGCGGTGGTGGAGGGGGTGGAGGGGGCGGGGGTGGTGGCGGTGGTGGGAGTGGTGCTGGTGGTGGGGGGGTCAGTGGCGGAGCAGCGGGTGGTGGCGGCGGCGGTGGTGGGGGTGGCGGGGGTGGTGGTAGCAGTGGTGGCAGCGGTGGAGCTGGTGGCGGGCGCGGTGGAGCGGTGCAGCGTGGGGGGTTCGGCGGTGGCCAGAGGCAGCAGCAGCAGCGTCCCGGCGAGGCTCCCTCGCCCCAGCAGCTCCGTGAGGGAAGAGGGAAGATCAGCAGGGAAGATGTCTTTGAACTCATTGACAACCTGTTGAATTTCAGAAGGGATTTCAGCAGCCTTGGGAGGGGAAGGGAGAATAGGAGTTTCTGAAATTTGATTCAAAAAACAGAGGAAGAATTGAGAGCTTGGGTCCTTGAGGGAATTTTTTTGTTGCCGTTTTGAGAGGAGGTTGCAGCAAGTGGGGGTAGAGGAGGAGGAGAAGGTAGGTAAGGTGATGTCTCTTCCAGAGTGAGAGATGGTGACGGTTCCAAGGGTCCAATCGATTTTGGGATTTTTTAGCGAAAGCCAGTCATGTCCAAGAATCACTTCATGGTCTCCAAGAGATGCCTGCTGAAATTGAATCTTGTCTTTGTAGGGTCCAATGGTGCATGAAACAGGAAATGGTACTCGTCCACATGAGATCGAGGTTCCGTTCGCCATCAACACTGTTTGAGGTAGGGAATCAGTTTGAGTTGGGAGGGAAAGCTTGGAGAGTAGAGAGGAGGAGATGAAGCTAGAGGAAGCACCACTGTCAAGTAGGGCTTTCACTTTCTGACTGCGAATCAGCATAGAAAGGAGAAGGGGTTCAGAGGGGTTACGGCTTTCAAGAGAAGAGATAGTGGGGCAGGTATAGTCACCAGAAAGTTGCCCCGAGTTTACTGGCGGCTTGAGTTTCCCGGTGTTGGAAGTATCGGGGGCAGATTGGTGCGTTGGCGGCAGACCTTCCAGATGTGTCCTTTCTTGCCGCACTTGTAGCACACGACGACAGGCCTCGGGTTCCTCTTCCTCTTCTCCATCAGGTCCAGGTCCATAGGTGCAGGTTCTTGCAGATTTGAGTCCGTTGGAGTAGAGGGCTGGTAGGAGGGAGCAAACGGGAGGAACGGGCTACGAGGAAAGCGAGGCTTGTTGTATGCGTAATGAACAGAATCATACCGTTCAGCCACACGTATCATTTCCTCGAGCGTAGAGCAGTCCCTCAGCTCGACCTCCATGCGCACGTTTGTTTTCAGCCCGCGCTTGAAACGATCCATCCGTTCAGCATCGGAAAGGTCCGGGATCTCTTGAGCGATGTCACGGAAGCGAGAAGCGTAATCTTGAACAGATTTGAGTTGCTTCAGAGCAGCCAAGGCGTCTCGTGCTCTGATGTTCGGGTTCACCGGTTGGAAGGTAGCAGTGAAGACTTGCTTGAATTGATCCCATGACTGGATGGTCGCATGTACGGATTGCCACCAGGTGATAGCAGATCCACGAAGAAGGGTGCCAGTGAAAGCAGTCCACTCGGCCGGAACTATGTGACTTAGGAGCAGGTATTGCTCAACAAGAAAGAGCCAACGGCTCACGACTGGTTGGTTTCTCCCGGGAAAGAAAAAATCAGGAAGAGCGGGTCTAGCGCGCTGATTTCCGTCTGGCGGTGCAGCAGGGCTCGAGGTTGCTGCCGCCACTCCAGCTGCAGCTACACTAGCTTGCATCTCTGCTTGCAAGCTCTCTCTAACTTCAGCAACAAGTTGGGCTCGGTACGTTTCCAAGTAGCTGGCCCATTCATCACGAGAAGGTACCTTACTAGTCGTCATGACGCTGTTTTCAAGAAAAGGAGGATCGAAGATAGCTCGGATACCAAATGAAACAGCCCCTAAGCTGTTTTGGCAGAGTAGTAGTAGTAGTAGGAAGAGCTCTAAGGAGAATTTCAGAAATATAGTAGCAAGATAGCTTTACAAGATCATATGATGGCTTACACTTCAGAGATACATCCTAATATACTAGGATACTAGCAAGGGCGCCTCGAGCAGGTCGCTCAGGTCGCCTATCATCTTCCTAGAGCTAAGGACAGCAAGGCATAGTCATTATGATTATGTACAAGACATCCTAGCCTTGTTGTCTAGTCCTAGAACCAATTAGCAAAGTCTAGGAAATCACTAAAGCAAGGGGCAGAGCTTCTTGGTAGTGTTGTCGTCCATGTTGTCGTTGAGAATGATGAGTAGAAGCTGCGTTGGATGAAGGCATGGCTGTAGGAGAATGTGCTTGCTTGTGCTGTCAAGTATTTTGCTGCGCTGTTGAAGCTCTCTGCCTTGTTGTGTCCAGCACTAGCGTGCTTTCTGGAATTGTTCCCAAGGTTGGAAACTGAGAATTACGAGCCGCACAATTCAATGCTGGATTCCAACATTGAATTCCCGAAATGTACTTAGGGTGTGTTCCGAATTCTGGTTCGGATCACAAGGAGCTGAGTTGGCGAAATCGAGGATGGCGAGATCGCCTTCGTCTTGTTACACGCATTTCACGCGATCCTCACGCCCTGGTCTTCGCTATCTTTATTCCTACACTTGTCGGCATACGGTTACATCTCGCATGTCGCGATATCGAGTTCGCGCTGCGCCCTTCGTGCGCATGAAGCTTTTGTCTGCTTCAGCTTGTCGTGTGAGATATCGTGAGCGCTCTCGAGGCCTCGGACGGTACGCATGTATGGAAGCGGCTGACGGCACGAGGCCCCGCTTTCGTCAACGGGCGCGGCGCGGGGCAGCGGAGTGAACGCCGTGCTGCGTTTACTACTCTTCCCGCGCCGGTTGCACTCATCTATTGTCCGATGTACGCGACGCTGAATGCGACGCACAGTGCGACGCTGGCGTCTCCGCTTCGTCTTTCACAGCCGAACTGAGAAAGACGGGAGCCTGAACCATGGGGGGTGCTACTCCAGAGGTGATTTGTCGTTGGTATCCCCAGCGTCTCCTCCATTCGAGTTCCTAGTCTCCAGTTTCTGCCTTCCAGCTTCTACGGAGAAACTCCCTCGACGGAGAAATTCGCTAAGGCTCTGCCGAACGACAGATTGAATGAAAGCTTTTTGAGAGCTCGAGATCGCATCCCTGCCTCGTGGAACCTCCCTGTGACATCCGCTTTTGCCACAGTCTCACTTCGCATTGTCGGACGTGCCTGCAAGAAACGTGACCGTAGGAGGTGCTCCGATGAACTCATCAACTACGGCAGCTGATGCGACCGTAGGGTGGCGGGGTTGGCACAGAAACACTGCCTTGCCTGCCTTGCCTGCCTTGCCTGCCTTGCCTGCCTTGCCTGCCTTGCCCGCCTTACCTGCTTTGCCTGCCTTGTCTGCCCGCCTGCCTTGTCTGACTTGGCTGCCTTGCTTGCCTTGGCTGCCTGGACCGCAAGGGCCATGGCCGTATCTGTTTCTATCATGGTGCCACAAATGGCAGGTGCTGCGAGATGCCTCCCTGCTGCTAGGTCCCTTGCTCATGGTGTTTCTGTGAGCGCGGTTCTCTGTGGTGCTGCTGTGTTGGCGCCTTCCCTCGGTGCCTCTGCTGCGGCCAGTCTGCATGGTGACGTGGACTCTCAACGCTCCACCAGTTACAGCGCGTTTGAAGTGGCTGCTGGAGGGGTGGTGTTCGGTTCGGATGGTGCTTCGAGGACGTACTTGATGGTGAGAAGGGGGGTGAGTTGAGTTGATGTGGGAGGAGGGGTTGAGATGAGCTGATGAGAGAGAGGGGTGAGATGAGTTGATGACTGGGAGAGAGGTGGGATGAGTTGATGACTGGGAGAGAGGTGGGATGAGTTGATGACTGGGAGAGAGGTGGGATAAGTTGATACGGGAGAGAGGTGGGATGAGTATCATCTTACCTTGCGTGTAGTAGTTCATCTTGCGTTTCTTCCATCCATCCCATTTCCCACCCCATCAGATCATCCACGCATACCTTGCTTCAAATTCATCTTGCGTTTCTTCCATCCTGTTTCCCACCCCCCATCAGATCATCCACGCATACCTCGTCTGCACCACGCTAGCGCTCGTCCTCTGCTGCACGGGCGTGTCCCTCTCCCACCTTCTCGCATGCCTGCACCGCCACCTGTCCGATGCGAAGCGTGGGATGCAGAGGCTCCATTCTACAGGCATTTTCTATATGGTGCGGTGCAGCTTTGGGTCTGCTTGACGAGTTTTGCACGCAAGGCCTTTGTTAGTTGAGACAGCAAAAATTGCATTGAATCTTGGTCCCATCTATCTGACAACCAGTACGCTTACTGATTCTAGCCCCCGTATTTGACCTTTCATTTTCTGATACTTATTGGCATTTGATTTTCTCCTCTCTTCGCCCTTTTTCTTGCAATGGGTCTAAGTTTCATTATTTTCCGGTCATCATCATTTTCCAGTCATCGCCTTTTCTAGTTTCATCTTTTCCAGTCATCGTCTTTACCCTAGACTATGCAGGTTTTCTTTTCCTATCGGCTTGCATCTGAAGCAGATCGTATTGTTGCTCTATGTGATGCCTCCGCGGAGGCCGCTAGTCGCGCCAAGGGGGCTTTTCTCACCACCAGGATGCATGTCATGTCTGCAGTAGCCATGTATGCCAACCACATGTAAGAATATTTATTGTGAGACGTCTCAAAATAAATCTTCATACACGTGGCCACCAGGATGCATGGCATGTCATGTCTGCAGTAGCCAGGTATGCCAACCACACAGTCTCGACCGCACATCCACCTTCTTACTTCTATCATGCCCTTGTTCCTCTCAGACGTTCGCACTTTCATTTCAACCATTCAGACGTTTGCTTACTTCCATGATCTGCATGATTGGTTGGAATGTGTTGTGTTTCTATGCCCAGGCGTTGGTGGGCTGCCAGAGGTGTAGTCTGCAGCTTTCAAAGAGTGCCGCAGGAGCTGTATGATTTGCGACAGCAACAGGAGGAGATGAGGAGGGAAATGCGTGGGTGGAGGCAGCAGGTGGTGTAAGACAAGGAGGAAGGAGAACAAGGAATGGATGCAATATGGAGGGAGGTGCAGGTGGTGAGGGAGGAGAGGGCAGGGGAGGTATTGAAGCTGGTGGGGAAGGTGGACGAGATGAGTCAGCAATGGGGCCAGGATCTGGACGATCAGATGAGCGGATTGAGAGTTGTGCTAGAAGCAACGAGGAGGGACGTGAGAGTGGCACGGGAGGAAGGGGCTGATGAGATGAGGAGGGTTTTGGGGAAGGCTGAAGAGGTGGGGCAGCAGTGGGGAAGGGGATTGGATGATGATGTGAGGAAGTTGGTGGGGAGGATGGAAGAGATGCAGCAAAGGATGGAGCAACGGTGGAGGGAGGAGTTCAAACATGAAGTTCTAACCGCCTCTCTGAAAGAGGAGCTGGGAAGAACAAGGAGAGAGATGCTGACGGCAAAGGAGGAAAGGGCACGGGAAATGCAAGAGGTGATGGGGAAAATGGAAGAGTTGAAGCATTCAATGATACTAGAGTTGAGGCATGAGAAGGAGCAGGTGGAGAAGGCGAGGAGGGAGAAGGAGCAGGTGGAGAAGGCGAGGAGGGAGAAGGAGCAGGTGGAGAAGGCGAGGAGGGAGAAGGAGCAGGCTGAGAAGGCGAGGAGGGAGAAGGAGCAGGCTGAGAAGGCGAGGAGGGAGAAGGAGCAGGCTGAGAAGGCGAGGAGGGAGAAGGAGCAGGCTGAGAAGGCGAGGAGGGAGAAGGAGCAGGCTGAGAAGGCGAGGAGGGAGAAGGAGCAGGCTGAGAAGGCGAGGAGGGAGAAGGAGCAATGGCCACAGCTAAGATCAAAGCAGCTGCGGGATTGCATTCAATACTATTTTTCAGAGCTGCTAGAGGAGGTGAGACATGGGGTGTGTGTTTGTGAACGAGAGTGATATGCAGAGGGGTTGCGGAGAGAGAGAGAGGATTGTACCTGTTTAAAAGGAGTGTTGATTTAAGTGTTCGAGCCCCATGCAAATCGTACAGGTTCACTCGTTTCCCTAGTTCTCTCACACCGATTCTCGTTAACATGCGCTGATTCGCTCATTTTTTTGCAGACTTGTGCTTATATGTGCCTCGTGCATTCGTTCCGTGCCTTTTGTCTCAGGAGGACGATGACTCTGAGCTAATGGCAGAGGAATGTCAGAGAAGGTTGGAAAAGTGGCAGCTGGCAGAGGAATTTGAACACGTCTTTGAGCGAGCGCAGGGAAAGAGGGCAGAGAAGGTGGAGAAGGCAAGGGAGCGTAGGCGGGTGGAGTTTAGGCAGACGGACTGGAAGCAGAGAAAGGGGAGAGAAGTGGCTATTGATATGAAGAGGGAGAGGTTGCAGGGAATGGAGATTATGACCGGAGAGGTGGAGGTGGGGAAAGTGGAGGAGAAAAAGGTCGTGACGGGTGAGGAGGAGAGCTTAGGGGACAAAAACATTGATGGCGGTAAGGATGATGTTGAGGAAAAGGAATGTCAATCAGTCGGATTAGAAAGGGAAAAGAGGGTGAGGAGGAAGAGGGGGAGAGGAGCACCATGGGAAGAAAGTAGGGTGCAAACAGGAGTTAGGGGAAGGGGAGGGAGAGAAGGTGGTGGGAGAGGAGGGAGAGGAAGACAACCAAGTCAAAACGAGTTTTGTTCACTACTGTAGGGCGTATGTTGATCGCCCATCCTGTTCAAATCGCATTTATCAGCACTCCTTGTCACTTCCAAATGCTTGTCCTACGTCCCTTTGGATGGTCTTTGCTCTGTGGAAGTGACAACCTTGACATGACACTACTAGACACAACACAACTAGTGTTAAAGTGGTTTCGCAATATGATGGAAGTGAACTACCACCCATAGACAATGGACAGATAAAGGGACTCAATTTGATTGTTGAACAGTTACTGCGGGCGGCATGCAAGGGTGATATCGACCGCTGTTAACGTCCCAGGGGTTTGCGTACAACAATGTATTGTCGAAATATGATCTATATCTTTAATAACTGCTTGTAGTTGTAGTGTAGATATTATGTTTTGTAGGTGGTGCACCTTCTTTCCTTGCATGTTCTTTCCTATTTGTACCCTTGCTCAATATTAAATCACCCCTCTTTGGCCAAATTTCCTTCGCTCCTACCCTCGTTACTCTCGCTCCTACCTTAGCTATGGCTCCTAAGTTCTGAGCCTATGCTAGCTATTTTGACATGGTTTCAGAGCAACTAAGCTCCTTGACCTACTTTTTCATGGGCCCACCACTAGCCATGGCGCTCCCCGTCGCGTTTCACGTCGCCACACCCATCGCGCCCGTCGAGGCGCTCGTCAAGGCGCTCGTCAAGGCGCTCAGCCTGACGGCCGCGACGACCGCGAAGGCGAGCCCCGAACGGCGCCCCGCTTCCCGTCGTCCTGATGCCCTGCTCCCCGCCGCGCTTCCCACAGCCGCGGGCGCCCTGCTTCTCGTCGCCGCGGGCGCCCTGCATCCCGTCGTCGCGGGGGCCCTGCTTCCCGTCGCCGCGGTGCCCTACTTTCCGCCGCCGCGGCGCCCCGCGTCCCGTCACGCTCGGTGCCCTGGTTCCAGTCGCCGCGACATCTGCTGTGGGAGGAGGTGGTGAGGGGAAAGGGGAAGGGGGGGGCGTGGGTGGTCGATGCAGGTCCGTGCGCTGTTGCGCCACACCGCTATTCCGCCGCTCGCCTTCCCCTCTCTCTCCCTGTTGCGCGTGCAGCAGTGGGGGGGTTGGGGGTTTGGGGGTGGCGGGTGTGAGCAACCTGCTGCCGCCCCTCCTCCTCTCTTTCTCACTGCCGCACGTGCCGCTGTGGGGGGAGGGTGAGGGGGTGGCGGTGTTAACGGGAATGGAGTGTTGGCCCCGCCCTCGCTTGGGCAACGCCGACAACTTGGTCGGATGTACGGGAGTAGTAGCCGACCATTCACAGTGGGAGAGCTGCTCGACAGGCATCGTCGAGCTGCAGGGGACCACTGTGGTGCTGCTGTCGACCAGGGAGCTCGACAGCTGCATCTGACCGGTCTGGGCGACGGGTGGGCCGTCGACCAGGAGGGGCAGTTCGATCGGGAGGCCTCCGTCGACCTGCAGCTCGACCGGGAGGTCTCCGTCGACCTGCAGCTCGACCAAGGGGTCTCCGTCGACCTGCAGCTCGACCGGGAGCAGTCCGACGATCTGCAGCTCGACCGGGAGCAGTCTGTCAACCTGCAGTTCGACCGGGAGGTCGACGGAGCAGTCCGTCGACCTGACAAGTGAGCAGCGGTCGACGAGGGGAGCTCGGCGACAACCGCTGACGGTTCTGGTCGACGGAAGGGGTCCGTCGACCAGGGGGTAGCTCGACGGGAGCTGTGGTCGACCAGGGGCACCTGGTGGTCGACCAGAGGGACCTGGTGGTCGACCAGAGGCAGTGGTGGTCGACCGGAAGCAGCTGGTTGTCGACCAGGTCGACCGGGTAACCTGCTCGACGAGTTCTGCTGAGGCACGCGAGCGTCGTCGAGGTCGCGATGGCGCAGGCGACTGCGGGCTGGTATCCCGAAGTCAATGTGGCTCGTCAGGCGCAGACAACAGCCGACGGATGCCCAACGAGGCAAGTCGGGCCAATCGTCTGCGCGCACCTGCGAGCGTGCGCACTGCTGTGTTCTACGGGGCAACGCTGGACAGCCGCTCTGCTGCAGCGTTGGCACGCCGTCGACCTGCTCTGTTGGCAGGTCGCCTTTATGCAGTGCTGGCGCGGCTCCTCTACGCAACGCTGGCGGGCGGTCGACCGAGCTGTGTTGGCGGTCGACCAGGCTAGCTGCAGGGTTGCTAGGTGTCTGATGTAGTCATTCTGTCATTGCTTGTTCAATCATTCTGTAATCCCAACTTTGCCTAGTGGAAACTCTTGCCGTTTTCTCCCATGAATGTGCAAGCACTAAGGAACTAAGCAAAGCTACGATCACTCCTAGTAGTTCGTGCCAGCCCCCGTAGTCTAGCTCACTACCATTGTAGAGTAACTCTTTGCAGGCGGAAGGGTGCGGTTCCGGGTGGCGGTTGAACAACGGCGGCGAGGTTTAAGAGGGTGGCTGAAAGGGGGTGTGGTTTAGGGGGGTGGCTGAAAGGGGGTATGGACTTGGGAGTTCGTAAGAGGGGTTCGCCGCATGGCTCCCCCCACCTCCTCTCCTCATCCCCCTCTCACCGCCCCTTTGTAAAATGGGGGTTCGTAAGAGGGGTTCGCCGCGTGGCTCCCCCCACCTCCTCTCCTCATCCCTCATTCACCTCCTCCTTGGTACTTCTCTCCTACTTCTGCTGCGCACTCTGCATGGTGTACCCCTTCAGGGGGCGTAACTACACTTCTTCCTACAAGCAATTATGGGGGCGTGTCGAAATATGATTTATATCTTTAATAACTGCTTGTAGTTGTAGTGTAGTTATTATGTTTTGTAGGTGGTGCACCTTCTTTCCTTGCATGTTCTTTCCTATTTGTACCCTTGCTCAATATTGAATCACCCCTCTTTGGCCAAATTTCCTTCGCTCTTACCCTCGTTACTCTCGCTCCTACCTTAGCTATGGATCCTAAGTTCTGAGCCTATGCTAGCTATTTTGACATGTATCTCATGCAGTTACTGGAAAATCTCACTTGTTTCTGTGCTACATGCGTGAACCAATCACACCATAATAGCCAACTACAACGGCACGCATCGAAGCCGCACATGACTTCGTCATCACCATGCAGCAGCTATGGTAGAAGACTCAGCGACATCTCACCATGCAGCACCTATGGGAGAAGACTCAGCGACGCCTCATCATGATGCGGTACTCCCAGAAGCACTATGCTGATCGAAATCGACGTGATCACTCAGTAGCGATCGGAGATCAAGCTCTTTCTCGACACTCGCAACTTGGACTTGTCTCATCTTCCTCCAAGCTCCGGCCTCGCTTCTGTGGTCGCTTTCGCATTGAGACCGTGGCAATAACATTCCGCTTGCGTTTACCTAGTAGAGGAAGCTTCACAATGCTTTCGATGTTCAGCTAATGAAGCCCTACAAGGACCCCAACCAACCGTACTAGGGACGTCAGTTACCACCACTGCCATATGTTATTGTACAGGAAGAACCAGAGTACAAGGTGGAAGTTGTCCTCGCTCATCAACTCAGACGTTGAAACACGCTCAAGCTGACGCACAGTAGAAAATCAGCAGCAGCCTCCGAAAGCGGTTCGCATCGTCCACCGAGGGCCGTTGAAAAACGTTACGGCAGTACAAGTGTCGAGGAAGGCGCCAAGTTTCCCCCGTCGATGCTTCGAACAATGAGACACAACACCCAGCAAAATCGCGTCCGCGCAGCACGCTGTAGACTCGGGTGACGATCCGGCTGCGATGAGCTTCCATGAATTCAGGAAACATGATGATAACAACAGCCTCAGCGTCACGAACCAAATTCGCAACAATGGCTCCCACAGTATCGCGATCGCGACGAAGGCGTAAGTACCAACCAGTGATACCGAGGACAGGATCAGGGGTTACTCCCTGGCAGGTACAACATGAGGTTGCGCAGCGACGGAAGGACCATCCACGGGAGCCATCACCGGAGCGACAGGCGGAACGATCGGAGCCACCGCGGGAGCCATAGGCTACGAGCTGGAAGACGCGGCAGCATAAAACTCGCTTGGCAGGGGGAGGAGCATAAACCGCGGGAGTGACAGCTTCCTTGGCGAAGGAGTCAACCGAAAAAGAACGATCAATCTCCTCCTCTCCCATAAGCCCATTAGGGTTGTGCTAGGAATCTGTGTTGCTAGGTGGTGAGGAGCTAGAGTCAAGATATGACGATATATCAGGAAGGAGAGCCGATACGGAGGCCTCAGCCAAGGGGAAGTCTCGAATCGCGACTAAGAAATTAACATTGTTACAAATTCCAATTTAAGAGAACCGTGGCATTGGCAATGGCCGCCGCACACAGATCCAGCAAGGAGCACGGGAGTCGTGATCTTCACATGGCGAGAAGCAAGAGGTATGAGCACCGACCCTCCAGATTGGGAGCAACTAGCTGGCTTGCATGGTGTTTTGCCAGCGTTGGTGTGAGTAAGACGAGAAGAAACACGAAGGAAGACATTAAGCAGTAAAGATTTCCAAGGGAGGAGTACACACCGTAGTTGTGACGAGGTCCCTGCCAAGTCATAGGAGCGTAGACAGATCCTCCGTGGTACGCCACGACGGCGGATAAGACTTGGGGGGCCACTACAAAAGAAAGGTGGGACGAACCGGCGAGCGCGAACCAAGAAGGCTACTGCAAGAGTAACATGTCAAGAAGTTGAGCGTGAGGAGGAATACATCGAGGGAGACCCGCGAAGGTGATGGGAGGGGAGCGGACAGTGGACGAAGGACTGGAGGGTAGGGGAGATGGCGAAGGCGCGAGACAGGAAACCAGCCCCTGCGGAAAGGTAACGATAGCCTGCGGAGGGGAAAATATTACGATACTAAGCTACGTAACAGTCTTACGCATTCCCGCAGGGTCGAAAGTTACTTACCTTGACCACAAGCACCTATTGTTGTCAGCTAAAATATCTTAGGAATAAAACTGGTGACTTCGGGATGGAGAGCAGCTAGTCATGGAACCCAGTTCCAACTTGAAACCAAGGTTGGCCTGGCGATGGAAACCATCGCTGGGTAACAGTCGTGTAGGTGTAGCACGCAGACATGCGACGAAGGAGATCAGCATGGAAAATTGTTTTGGCGGGAACAAGAAGCATCAAGATTGGCGAAAGCCAATCACATTTGTTCATAGTGCTACTCGTTTTTTTTTTTTTTTGAACAGTGCTCTATCGGCCCGCTCTCTGCAACACCATTTCAAGCTGGGACACGGTCCACTATTTTGTATTTCGGTTATAAGCGCACCTGCGCTTATAATAAAACATGATTTTTCAACGGGGTGCGCTTATTTTTTGAGTAAAAAAAATAAGTGCATGCGCTTATAAAATAACAAATATACATTTTTAAACTGCTAGCACGAAAATGTAGTTCGCGTCATTGCGCACCCAATCGAGTCTATCTGAAACAGGGTTGTCGGTGAAAATCTCTCGCTACTTGGCAGACAAAGATTCCCTGCAAGCACATACACTCAAAATGAGTCACAAGGCGCTTCTGACAGCATATGCTGACTGGACGCGCATGTCAAACTATATGCCTATGTTATAATGATATGTTGGCTTTAGTGGGGTAGCTAATGTAGGGTATAGGTTTTGTTACTTGTACCCAACTCTCTCGATAGTCATGTCAACCATTTCCTTCCCTTCACCCTCGACATGGTATTAAGAGCAAAATAGGTCCTTAGGACCGTTTTAGGAATGTTTTTCAGGGCCCACCAACCGTTTTCCGCCGGTTACCGCGTTACCCCGCCCCCTGCCTACACTGCCCTGAGTCGCGTAGCCCTCGCGCTCGCCTCTGCTGGCCCTCGTGCAGCCCGCTAGCAGCCCGCCCGCTGCCTCGTCAGCCCCACGCGTAGCTCGCTAGCTGCCTCGTCAGGCCCGCGCGCCGCCCCGCAGCCCTCGCGCTGCCTTCTACTGCCCCCCGCGGCGCTCCGCAGCCCTCGCGCTGCCTTGTACTGCCCCGCGCGCCGCCTCTCAGCCCTCGCGCTGCCTTT